TCCCTCACCCGCATATGGATCCTTACCTCCGCTTCATTCACCGGCACACGATGACAGAATGATCCAACCCACGAAAGGATCCAGCGGGGAGATTATCCCCTGGGAGTGCCTGCTCCAGTTTCTCTCCTCGGACCACCGGCCGGCTTCTCCTCCTCCGGCTTCGCCTCGCCGCAGACGCCGTCACCGACCTTCAGCCTCGGCGATCCTCTCCACCCTCCCGGAGCCAAATGAGAGGTTGGACCGGGAGACGCTTCCAGATCACACCAGCTACGTGGGCACCAGACTGGCTGTGTGCTCCCCCGGAGCTGCCCCACTGTGTGGGGAAGGATGCCAGGATACACCGCAATCCTGTGTCCCAGGACGGAGCCACGAGCTCGCCGCTGCCCCAGCCTGGCGCACCTGCTTGGATCCGCCCCCAGTCAGACCAGCAGTCCCGTCTCCGGTCCAATCCGCTCCTCCGTCATCTGCAGGCGGAGGAACGATGCCCACAGCCCAGCTGACAGAGCTTGCAGGTCTCCAGGCGGAGCTTGGCCTGATCCGTCAGCTCGTCAGCCTCCAGGAGTCCCACCTGGACACCCTATCCTCCCCGAATCACCAGGAGAGGGTTTCAGTCCAGCCAGCAGCTCCCTCGTCTCAGAGCCAGAGGAGCGAGCCTGCAGTCCACCCAGCAGAGCTCGCCGGTCTCTGAGCTGAGCTGGCCCAACTCTATCAGAGCCTCAGTCTCCAGGAGCTCCACCTGGACACTCTATCCTACCTCCTCTCCCAGTTTCCAGCACCACCAGTTCAGTCGCATCCTGTTCCAGCGGTGGTCCCGGTGGATGCACCACATCCTGTTCCCGTGGTGGTCCCGGAGGTCGCACCGCATCCTGTTCCAGTGGTGGTCCCGGTGGATGCACCACATCCAGTTCCCGTGGTGGTCCTGGAGGTCGCACCGCATCCATTTCCAGCGGTGGTCCCGGAGGTCGCACCGCATCCGGTCCAGCCTGTCCAAGCAGTCCCATCTGCAGCAACTCCTCCTCCACTCCAGAAGCCGGCGGTCCAGAAGCCGACGATCCAGAAGTCGACGCTCCCGGACCAGAAGTCGACGCCCCCAGACCAGAAATTGACGGTCTAGAAGCCGACGATCCAGAAGTCGACGCTCCCGGACCAGAAGTCGACGCCCCCGGACCAGAAGTTGACCGTCCAGAAGTCGACGGTCCAGAAGTCCAAAGTGTGTTTTTATTTGTTCGGAATGTAAAATGACTTTCATCATATTTAGATTTTCTGATTATATGTAAAATGCAATTAACCCATTATTTACATATCTGATATTTTCAGAAATTCAAGATAAAAGATTGTTTTATTGCACAGGTGTACAACAAAGTTGTCTTTGCGCTCCCTAACGACAGCTCATAAGGATGTAGTAAAATATAAGGACAATTTAAAACCCTGACTGAGAGCCCTTGAGACAGATTCCCTGTGTTGTAACTGCCTTCTGTAATTGTGTAAATAACATGTCTTTGTGGCTAAAACAATTGTAACTGTAATTTTTTCAGGCTCTTGCCCAGCACTCCCTTGAAAATGAGGTTTTTAATCTCAGTGGGACCTTCCTGGTTAAATAAAGAATAAATAAACAAGGCTAAAATTGATATCACGCATACACACACACATACACACACACACACACTCACTCAGTTTAAGTTGCTCCATTTCTGCTCTGCTCTCCAGTCTTTCTCATCTTCTCTAGAAGCTCACTTCCACAACAGTTTGAGGTTGTGTATCATTGGTTTTCAGGCTAAACTAACCCAAGAACTCTGCTGTCAGGCTGACTGTGGCTGCTACAAAATGGCCCAGGCTACCTACCATGACGCTTTGCAGGTGTGGTAAAAGTGATTTATTTTTATTCATGTAATCTTCATTACAACCTTTTGAGTTTTAACATTATCCATGTTTTTGTTTTATAGCAAAGTGTGTTGCTGCTGTGAGCTTGGAGCTAGAGAACATCATGACATCACAGAGGAACTACTCATTCTGGTCCAGTGACACTTGGTGGTGACGTGTGAGCTGATTCGCCTGGTAAATAACTTTTACATAAATATTTTTTCTTTGGTAACAAAAGTGAATTAACTAATAACTTGCATTCCTGTAGGACACTCAGCAAAATATGGACGCTACACCATGAGGCAGGCACACGTGGAGATTATATAGGAGCACATATGCTGAGCAACAGAACACATTATTAATATTATTATTGTTCACTGTCCTGGATTTCTTTCTGCATTTCATCATTAGCCTGGCTGACCACCACTGCAGGACACCTGACAACTCCTGTCATCTGGCTATGACGGCAGGTGCATCCTCAGTCACACACCTGTAACCTATCAGCTCATCTGGCTGAGTAAATGACCTGGTGGCCATGGCTCTCCTTTTTCTTTTACTGAAACTTACATTCTTGTTTTCCACAGATCTATGGACATCAGTTTCTCTGTGAAGACGTTTCAATTCCTGTTCCTGTCACCCTGAGAGGACAGAACCCCCTTCACTGCCACCATCCAGCCCTGTCTCCTGTCTGCTTACAATTATAATAAAAATGCTGTATGAGAGTTCTTTGTGCTGCCTAATTTGATATTTATATTTCACATTTGATAAATGATCATTACTTTGATGCAGATTTAACTAGCTCTAATGTGATGAATGAAATTAGCACCTCACTGAGCTCTTTTTAGTCAAGTGTGTTTACATATATTTACAGACATGAACCAAAATAGTAAATATGTAAACTGAGATTTATTTAATTAATAAAGCAAACAAGTCCAGAGGAGGGATGAATCATTTAAAGGCACATTCTTCTGGAAGCTGATTGTGGACAGAGGAAAACGGCTGCAGGAACCTACGACCAAGAAAACAACTGATATCAGTAAATAATGAAATCAGGGACACTTTAGTGGGATGTTTGTGATTGTCTAACATAAATGTGCACATTACAGAATGATTTTCTCATGGGGTATTTTATTTATAACGTAGGCATTTCTCTGCAGCATAAAATAACATTAGCTCAAGGTAGTCTGGTCCTATGGATGGACTCAGTTGTTTCCCTGCTTCAACACGGTTGATTCAGCAGCTCAGAAGTTTGCTGCTGATTAGGATCAGGTGTGTTGATGCAGATAAAACGGGATCCAGCAAGTTTAGAGTTGTATCTGCTGGGAGCTCTGAGCTCTAGGGCCGGGGTGCCTAGCTCTGCAGCTACTTTAAAGTTAACTGCTATTTACCCTTCAGAGCTGGTTCTGCTGGGCTGGCTCTGGTGGTTTCAGACACTTGTTTAAGTGAAGAGATAGTCTGGCTGCACTCAGACTAGCCGTTAGCACATCAGTCCAGTTCAATTTACCACAATATCTATATCGTCAAACAAAGCACGATATGTGATGAAGAAAAGTGTTTCAAAAGTGGGCGAATTGTGATCCCTAAGGCTTGCGATGTCTCTCTGACGGGCTCGTGGAGTCTGACGGGGACATGCAAGCAAGTCACCAGATGATCTCTGGCTGACATTTGGACCTCCCGCACGCAACTTTCACCCAGCAGCTCTCTGTTCAAGCGTGAGATAGAAACCAACAGGTGAACACGGGGTTTTTCTGTAGCAGAAATGCCACCAGGAACTAAAACTAAAAACCACATTCGAAGAGGAGGTGAGAAACTGATAGCTGAAGTTAGGAGAAAAGTTGTTTCTTTGAAACGAAAATGACTCTGAGTGTAATTTTATGCCTTTACATGATGAAAATTCCACTTCTTATAAAACTCTGAAATAATACGGTTCGTTCTGTCAACCTCAAAATAAAATCTTCACGACCTGTTTTTCCTGTTTGTTTTACACTGTCATGGGTTTTCTTTTTTATTATGTGTTTTTATACAGTAAAAATTAAAATTAATAAAAATCCTGGGTGAAAACTAAAGGAATAGATAAGTAGCAGAGAAACAAGGCAGAAACAGAAATTTCGGATGCCTTTGAGACCTTTAGACCTCACTTGGTCACAGAAAAAAAACATTAAGTAACCCATGGGCACTCTCGAGAAGGCTCCGTGATTAAATGATGGCTATGTGCTGTAGTCAGCTGTGTACAAAATAATAATCATTTCATTTCTTTGCTGTAAAATCCCCAGAAATACGATCAGAATGAACAAACTATGTGCAGATGAATTTGTGTGTATGAGGTGTGGAGATAGTTCTCTGTTGCTGGGGTTTGGATTAAAAACAGCTAAAGCTGAGCTGACTGGAACAAGTTCAACCCAACATTTTTGTAGAAATAAAAATAAGATATAAGATCATCAAAAGCATCATAAAAGCCTTCCTTACTAATGTTATTTTATAAAGTTAAGATAGACCTTTGCACTTGATATATATTTATATAAATGTAAATTCAAAAGTGTGGCATTGCTGTAAGCTGCTGATTACACTTATTTATGTATTAATGTGCAAATGCGCTGTGTGTGTGTGTGTGTGTGTGTGTGTGTGTGTGTGTGTGTGTGTGTGTGTGTGTGTGTGTGTGTGTGTGTGTGTGTGTGTGTGTGTGTGTGTGTGTGTGTGTGTGTGTGTGTGCATACATCTTTGCAGGTTGCATGCATACATCTTTTCAAAGGCAAAGGTGCAAAAACCATCTGCAGGCAACCAACCGTAATTGAGGTTTTACAGATGTGTCACAGGAAAAGGTAGACATGTTTGAATAGAGAAGCGTTCAGAAAGAAAGAAGAAAAAACAAATCAACAATAAGACTCAATCACTGAAATAATTTCAGATTTTTCTTGTTAAAGTCAAATATAAAAAGTCCTCTCTGGAAAGAAGACAGTGAATCTCTTATTCAAAAGGAATGTAAACAAAACAATAAAGTGGAAGGAGTTTTCCTGACATTTTCCACTTTCCCATCTCTGTACTGTATTAACCCAGACATCCTCTGTCACGGGTTTGACTGTGCGTTCATGGAAAAAGAAAACAAGGAAGATGTAGTTGAGAGGGACTGATGTGAAACTTACCACAACGTCACAGAATCTGTCACAACAGGAAAGGCATCATGAGTGGGAGGGCTGATATAGTGAACACTTTTATTTACTCTTCAGATGAAGAAACAGCACACGGAGAGAGACGCGTCCCTTCTAGTTGCCCAACACTTAAACGCCACTCAGTAAGGATCCACCGAAGCTGGAGGAAAGGGCAATTGTTGGCAGCTGCTGAATGGAGTCAGACTGATGGGAAACGTTTACAGGCAGATAAAATGGATGTAAACATGATGCAAGTCATGGTCTTCCTAATTCTCTACGTAAACCAAGTGTCAGGTAATTTTCTTATGTTTGAATACTTATTGGTTATATAGATTTTTTTTTGTTTAATATGATATTTTCTGATAGTCATGAAGTTGTTCTATGACTATAAATATTTAAGTAAAAACATTCAGAATTAGAACTTTATAGATCTTTTCAGTCTTGTTCCCGTACACTTTCGTACTTCATCCCAACACAGGTGATCCTGTTTCATCAGAACTGGAATCCCCTCACATGATTTACAAGGTTCCTTTTTCTGCAACCAGACATCCTTCCCTCCTCTTCAGCGCTAATTTCTCAGAAACATTCATAAACACTTCTCTCTGCATATGTCCAGCATACATTTGAAGGACTTTTTTTAAACCAGGCAGCAGAAATATTTCCCCTGTTGTTGAGTGTTTTGCATTAAAGGATGTTAAAACGGTTGAGTGGTAACAAGTGGGGTTTTATTTTTTTCTGTTTTTGCAACAGGCATAAAAATCCCGTCACCCGATAATGTGGAAGTAAATATTTCAGATGGGGAGGTGACTCTATTTTGGGAACAACCCGGGGATGCCTCATCAGATTTCGTGTATAATGTGCAAATGGCAAAGTAAGATTAATTCTCTATTATCTAAAAATTTAATTAAAAGAACCAAAGAAAGGAATTATCGAACAACTCAGCAGTTTGTTTGATCTTTTTTTACCTAATGAATGATGGATTTTATTTTTTCAGGTACAATAATGAGTGGGCCGAAGTACCCAGCTGCACAAAAACAAGGAAAACTTATTGCATCCTCAATAACTCCATTCATGACTACAGGGTCATCTACAAGGTCAGAGTTCAGATGGCCAAAGGATTTGAAAAGTCTGACTGGATAAGCAAAAAAATTCGTCTAAATGAAGGCAAGTGTCATATTTGGTGTCGTGTCTGCATCATCGATCATCAACACAATGGTTACTAACATTTATGTTCTTCTTCTCTATTTCTAGGTGGATTGCTTCCTCCTTCCTTCAATTTGTGGGCGACTTCCAGCACTTTGACCATCTATGTGCATGAAAAACCCATGCTGAAGAAAATCTTCCCGTCTGGAGTCACCTACACCATCACTTTGGAAGAAGTAGGAGACGAGAACAAGGTGGGTTTTACAAAGAGCAAAACCTAGACCAAGAACATCTAACACCTAAGAAGGAGGAATTAATTCCATGTACATTGTTTTGATCTTCAGATTACCACAGCTTACATGACAGATTATTCAGAGGAGGATCAGAGGTCAAAGACCTTCACTGGTCTCCAATGGGGGAGAAAATATTGCGTGAGAGTCAAAGTTGAGGCAACAGCAGCTCTTTCTTCCAGCAGACTGTCTGATCAACAGTGTCTCGTCCTTCCAGAACAAGGTAATTACAGCAATAATGGCTGATAAATTACAAATGCTTTTAAGTTCCAAAAGGTAAAAATAACAGGGTTTCGTTGTACATTTTAAAACTATAAAAACAAACGTAAATTATCATGTTTTCTGAAGTCTATTTCATTGTGAGGGGTGTTTAGATTCAAAACAAGCATTGAAAGTTTCAGAAACATATTAAATAAAAGTGCTTTTGCTTCTTTTCAGAGTTCTACATAATTGCTGCGACATCGTTGTCTCTTCTGGGAGTCCTTGCAGTGGTTACTATTATGTCAAGCATCCTCTTGTGTTATTTGAGACGTCCTGCAAAAACGCCCACATCACTGGTAAGTAAATACAAGAAATGAACAGGTGTTACAGTAACGACACATAAAAAACACCCTCTGGGCCATCGGCCGTGTGTGATACTATTGTTATTTGTCTCACACTAGAAATCCCCTATAAGCGGCTGGCATCCACTTTCTGTGTCAGAAGGATCTATGGAGGTGGTTACAGACAAAGGATGGTTTCTTTCCAGTTACAACACGGGGGCGAAAAACTCTGCCAAACTTCCAGTGAGCCACACTACAATAGTAGAAGACGTCGAGGAGGAGGAGGATATCCGGAGGAGCAGGATGGACAGCAGCCTCAGCATGGAGTCAGACTCTGATACGAAGAGTGTTGAAAAGCCTCCAGTGAGACAAGAAGACAGCGGCTGTGGGAGCATGGGAGACCCAGAGGGTTCCCCCGACAGTCAGGGAGATTATCCTCTACAGAATGATGTAGACACAGGTGATGCTGGGAAAAGAGAAGACAGCGGGACGGGCATGAGCTGCCAGCTGGACTCTTCATCTGTAAACCTGGACGGTCAGGACGGTGAGCCTCTAATGGAAACAGTCATCGTGGACAATTATTGCAGGCAGAATCCATCTGTGATGCAAATCCAGATCAGTGACGACGTAGACACGTTACAAAATATCCCTGCACACTCAATGTTGGCTAAAGTGGTGACAGGATACAGAGCCGGGCCTCAGTCCTGTATCTGCTCAGGGTCGGGTCAGTGCAGCTGGTGCCACAAAAATGAACTGCTGAGCACCAGAAGTGAACTTTACCAGAAAAAACACACTTTTTCAGCCTATTCTAAAGAAACACACATAGATACTGTCATGATTGAGGATTTAGAAACAACATTTTTACAAATAAGTGACACTTGTCCACTGCTGATACCTCTGCACTCGATAAAGTGTGAACAAGACTTCAACATGAACAGCCTCTCGCTGTGTGACGTCCAACTGGCGTCTGAGTAAGGCTCCGTGGAATGCAATGACAATTTTAAACCTGTCACAGCCTCTCCTGCATGTCGTCCTCACTGGATCATCGGAATTGAAGCTTAGAAGTGAACAAAACGCTTCAAAATCTAGAGAACAGAAGGCAACATTTCAAACTGATGAAGCGGTTTTTGAACACAGGAAGGAAACAGCAGTTCGGCTGTGCAGCTGAAGTCTTGGGAGCTTGTTGAAGAACTCACCGTGAAGACTTTATTCAAACCTGTGTGAGGGGAGGTATTTATAACTAACTGAAGTCATTTAGAACAGAAGCGAAACTGAAGAGCACTGCTGAGAAAACACAAAAAGTTTTGAACATTTCATCACACATGCTTAACTTTTTTCTAATTATTCCACTCAAGCTGAAAAAAGTATTAATAGAACATTACTTGTAACTGATTTGTCATTCATCACATTCTTGGTCAGATTTCATAAACTGAGAAATATGTCTTGACTTGTTTTAGCTTGTCTTCATTTCACCCGACTCAGCGAGTAGCTTTTATTTTGGAGAATCTATTTATTAGTCATTAGGGGGAAACTACATTATTTATTTTTATCACAGAGATTGTATGTACTTTTTTACTTCTGTATTTGATTAAAAGCTGTAATAATGTACTGTGAAATTTTGTTCGTTTTCATTTTTTACCCACTGACCAAATGTTACTCAGGGTTTATTTAAAAAACATGACTAAGGTAAGCTAAAGGAAATGCCTGACATCATGTGGAGATGAAAGTGCTTGTTATGTGGCTAAAGTCAGGATCCTCGTGTGTTTTACCAACATTAACCAGGTCTGTGGTTTTAAGCTAAGAGGCAAACACTTCCTCCATCACGCTTCCACCAGCCTACAATAAAAAGTCCCACGCTGCAGTTCCTCTTGATTTTGATGGCAACTGGAACAAACAAACGTGAGCTCATCTAGATAAGAAACTCTTTTGACCTAAATCTGTTTATTGAAAGTGAGAAAACCTCAGGTTTTTCCCGGAGGATCTGAAATTTCTTAGAACAAAAGAGGGCCACATATCTTGTAAAATAGAGCTAAAGTTAAACTTGGTTTAAAGAGAGACCTGAAATCTGTTTCATGTCAGAGTTTTAAACTAGGATCATCTTTCAAAGGGTTTGTGCAGGAGTGATTCATTGTTGGTCCAGCTACGGGGCTCTTGGGTGGGATAGAAGTTAGAAATTCAAATGGGAACCAAACAATGAGTCAAAAACATCAAGCTAAGAATAATGCAGCTTCTGGTCTGAAGCAGTGATCCTTTATTTTGTTTTGATGAGTTATTTTGTAAAATAGCAGCAAAATCTGAGTTTTCATATGTGTTTAACTTTGTAAAATTAAAGGTGAAACTCAAAAATGAGAAAATGCGGCAAAAGTAAATTTATATCAGTGAGTTAACTTAGACTTAGAGACCATCGGCTCAGAAATCCTTTGCAGGGGTTTTGGATTTATTAGCTGAAGTGTGACACTTTGAGTCTAGAACGTTGAAACTTTTCACAATATTCTAAATGTCTGAGACTTTGAATGAGGGGTTTTCATAAGCTGTAAGCCATAATCATTACAATTATAACAAATGAAGGCTTGATATATCTGGCTTTGCATGTAATGAGTTTATCTCAGATGTTAGTTTCACTCAACTGGGAACCCCACAGTACCAGACCTGAAGCCAACACGAAAGTGACAAAAATTACAGTTCCACCCTCATCCACTAGGGGCTGGCACCAGAAGCGGGCAAATCCTCATTGCCTCCAATGTTAAAAATGTCAACTTCAGCACAAATAAGCATGTTTACAGCCTGGTTCAAAAAAACATTTTAGGTGTAATAGGTCTAGTTTATATTCATTACAACTCTGACGGGGCAGAATTTTTTGCAACTGTTTTAAATGTGATTAAATGTATAATTAGATTTGATTGACAGGTAGCATGAGCTTCAGAGCTAGCGCTAGCTGAGGCAGTAAAGTCACGCAGCCATCTGGCTTCACCCAGCTCCGATGTGAGGCTGTAGTCATCCTGGTTGCCTGTGAAGCTTTCTGAGCAAGACCGTAAAAACACCACAGCTCTTTGAGTTGATGTTTGCTTCACTTCTGCTCAACTGCGTTTGCATGGCTAAACAAGCTCAAAAATATACGTAACCTTAGCGTTAGCTCCGGGTTACCCCAGGCAGTTTGTAGCTACCCTCATTGGCTTCAGGCTCCGTGTAGCTTCGGGTTTGCTTGTAGCTATATTTGTTCAGAGTTTATGGGTATCAATCATTTGCTCCAACCAGTAGCAGTTTCAGGCAGACCGGGCGGCATTTTTTCATGACACAAAGGGGGTGCACAATCGTTGGGTTAAAAAAATAAAGAAATAAACATTTAGTGGTCACCCACTAGGGTCAATTGGTTTTGTCTTGACTCCTGGTTGTTGTCATTGATGATTGGAAACCTGTTTATTGAGTCGAGTGCCAAACGAGATGCATAGAAAAAGGCGGGGACGAGGCGCTCAAGGGATGTCTCGCTCGGGGAGTAATTCCATGTACCACCACTGGCTCCAGCTCTCAGCTTGTCTGGGTGTGACACGGCCAAGATGGCAGCATTCGTAACCGCCCATTCTACTTCAAAAAGCCCCACAGAAGGCTATGGATGGGGTTTGTCCATCTTTTTCACACACTCATCGGTTTCACCTTTCAAGTTGAATTACTAAAATAAATTAACTTAACTCCACATTCTAATTTTGTGAGTGTGCCCTGTACATTCACTGCTGCTGGTCAAGTGCAGAACACTTCAAGAGACAGATAAACAAAACACCATCTGCTCACTGAAACATCTCTCACTATTCTGCAGGGGGTGATAAAAAATGTAATATATATGAATGTCACCTGTAACATTATACTGTCATTACAAGCGCCTCCTAATATGAGCCCAGTTTAGTTATTAACTGTTATAGACAGTATGCATCTGCCTCATTTTTTATAACATCCAATGACAGGAAAAGACAGAATTAACTGCATGTCGTGCAGAATGTACAGGGAGTTCTGCTTTACACTTTAGTTTTGATTTGCATTTTGTGGCCAGTTTCACCAATGACGCATCACATTTCTTTTTTGGACAAAAGAACTTCTTTAGTCTAAACTTGCATTTCCTTTTATATCAAATAGAGACCTTTTTTTTTACTTTACTAAGCTTTGTCATCTTCTTCTATTTTAAACCATGTAAGATGTTATTAAATAATATATGATAAATGAATGTGATATATCTAAATAATGCATGCAGCTCAGTTTTTTAAGCCAAATATAATAGATGACCTGAATTCACCCCATTTCAGGCAACTCATGTAAGAAAAATACTTTAAAGTTCAAGAATGCAAGTTTTAGTTTCAAAGAAGGAATAAAATGGTGAGATTTTAAAGTTCATCTAACCATGGAAAGTATCATAAAGTTTGCAAACGTGTGAAGCTACAAGGAAGTCACCTTCAGTTTATGAGAAAACGGATCTGACTGGTTAGTGTGGTGGAGCTGGTGTGATTCTTCACCTCAACAAGTTTTAATTATCAACCATGCAATGCATCTCATTCTCTCAGCATGTGCACGAGACACCGTGACATTTGGGTTTTGTTCTGACTCAGACCAAAACCAACAAACATCTAACAACATGTTTATTCATTTAAAGATAATTTAAAACAACTTAAGTACATATTTTAATGTTGTGTGCAATCGTGCAATATTTTTGCCTTCTTTGTTAATAAAAGACCAGGTCAAATAGAATGGATTGATTCCATTTTTTCTGGTTCTTCACTAGTATTTACAGAGTAAATAGAGCTTGTCTTTTCACTTTTTGCAGACATGTTTCGGCTCTCACTGTAGCATTCATCAGAACAATGAAATCAGATGAGGAACACGGATTGGACGTAACAGCAACAAATACAAAACACGAACAATTTAAGCACTGCCGACAAGGTGCATGAGGGGTGTGACTTCCATCGTTGTCGTTTCCAGACTCAGTCATCACAGAATGCTATTTCACGGAGCCGCTGATGGAGAAGGGCGGCGGAGACTTTTTCAAGCCAACTTTACTGTTTAATGAAATAAAAACAAACCAAAGCTACTTTTAACCACGTGACAACTTTAAAAGAGGAAATCAAACCTGACAATGTGGAAATCTACTTACGTTCGCATCCTTTCTTTCACAGACGGTTCTGCAGAATCAGGAGGGACATGATGAATATGTGTTTATGACAGTGAGACGGTTCACACTTCTGGTTTTTGCAGTACACAGTAAAGCTTGTTAGCATTACTTAGAGCATTTTTAAGCAATCATAAACTATTTCATAAAGTATTAACATCAGTTTTACCATACTATATAATGCTAAGCAGATACTCTTCTGACCCTATGTCTTAAACTTATGGACATTTATTAGTTAACAAATACCAGGAACTATAATAAAGGGACCATTTGTTTATTAATGCTAAATAATGCACTAACAGTAATAAAGGGACCTTTTACTTAGAGTGTTACTATACAGTTTTAATGGGTGATTTTCTGCACATGTTGTCATTTTGCCTTAAAAAGTATTAAAGTCATTCAAAGATATTGTAATAAAAAATAACAACATTCAGCCACTTACTTTTTTTCTTGCAGCACTTTTTCAGCTTTTTGCATTTATACTTGCAGCAGAATTGCACTATTCCAATGGTAAACAGGATGAACAGGATCCCAAAGCCCACTAAGACACCAACCGCTGTTTCATTTACCTTGCTTCCTGCAAATAAAGGGAGTTTTAAAAACACAACAATAGATTAACATCTTAAACTTTGCAGAAATGCACTCATTCAAAGAAAAAGATAAGATTGAATTTGCCAAATCACTGAACTTGCAAAAATGATTACAAAGTGAAATAATCTGTGACATAAATAGATCAATCTGTTGACAAGTGATGGCTTTCCCTTGATTGGTTTTCTTTGTAGAGATTAAAATTTGAAGTTAGAAGAGTTTAGCACAGATAAACAGGTGGTTGTTTTTACTACATAAGCCACGGAGCCAGTGATGACATTCCTAAGACTAAAATACATTGTTTTTCCTTAGTTTAACACATGTATTTTTAAGGCAGCATGCATATTTTAAATGTGAAACAGAGACCACATTTTAAAAGGCACATTTATGCTTTAAATACACCAAAAGTTTTACATTCCTAGCCAACACAAAAAGGTATTTTAAAAAGTGCAGAAGGTGGTGGTAATGTATGAAACTGAGCAAACAACATTTAAAGACAATATTTCAAACGGTTTAAAGGCTACATTTGTCTGAATCAAGACTGTTTAACTCATAGTTTCTGTGGCTGCCAGAGTTGTTTTTAACAGAGCTAAAAAAAAAGTCTCAGCTGAAAGAGTCTTACCACCATTCCCCATAGCTGATTAACCAGGATCACTGCTGTTTAATCCTTCCTTCTTTCTTCTCTTCTCTGACTTTTGGGTAGTTTTGTTACTTAGTTACTTGACCAGACATCTAGTTTTCAAAGAAATTAATGATTTAAAAGTGACAAACTAAAACAAGGCGCTCTCTCTCTCTCCTTGTCTTTACGTCAACCTGCCCATGTCCCCATGCCAAACATTCTTCCTAACCGGTCCATCTTCTTCCTTTCTTTAACCAGCC